GAACACTCTACCACTGAGCCACCTTCCCAGCCCCTGGCTCTGAGCTGTTTTTACTAAAGGCCAGCACTCTACCACAGCTCCACTTTGGGCTTTTTTTGGTGGTTAATTGGAGAGTAGAGTCTCGAGGACTGTCTCCTCAGGCTGCCTTTGAACCATGATCGTCAGATCTGTCTGTTGAGTGTGTAGGATCACAGATGTGAGCACTAGAAGCTTGTTCTTTTACAGCTCTCTTAGTTCTCCTCTGTCCCCGGAATGGAGCAGCGCTTGGTCCGCTCATTTGTCATAGCGTCACACCAACTCTGGCAGGGTGGCGGCTGCGCCCCACTGTGCCGATGGGGAAACTGAGACTGAGCTGCGTGGCTGAACCAGGCAGCCATGGGTCCTGCTGACTGCCTCATCTACTGCATGTCTGTTTTTGTATTTGTCTGGAAGGGGAGCTGAGCGGGGTGCAAGAATCTGAGTTCTCTGACCAGGATACTGCTCGCCTCACACTGAGCTGCACTTGTGGGATACCAGGTTTGGGGGGGGCAGGGGCAGGGTGAAGGGAAGGGAGGAGCCAGCCGGGGTCCCCCAAGGGTGAGAGGAGACAGGAGGTGGGAGGGGGGGAGACCTGATTGGTCCACTTTGGCTGTCACCTCCTTGTGTCCCCAGGCTGTGGGATCCCTGCCAACCCTCCTGAGGTCAGTGGGCTGTCCAGGGTGGTCAATGGGGAGGACGCTGTCCCTGGCTCCTGGCCCTGGCAGGTGTCCCTGCAGGTGAGAGGGGGATTGTGGGCATGGGGGCAGTGTGGGTGGCAGTCAGCATGGGGTGCTGTCCTGTGGAATTGTGATCATCCCCTTCTTCTTCCCCAGTATGAAGGCTTCCACTTCTGCGGTGGCGCCCTGATCAGCGAGGAATGGGTGGTCACTGCTGCCCACTGTGGGGTCACGTGAGTCCTGTGGGCTCTAGAGGGCAAAGGAGGGGATCAGCAACCCCCCCATCTCACCCCTACCTGTCTCCATGTGTAGGACAGATGACAAGGTGGTGGCGGGGGCGTTTAACCTGGATCCTGATGAGGAGGGCGTCCAGGTCTTGGACATTGCAGAGGTAGCCGGGCCTGCTGGACGGACCCCCAGGGAAGGAGTTGGCCCCCAGAATATCAGAGAGCCTGGGCTCCTCCTTGGGCCTCACTTGGGACTCTGTTCTCCTCCAAAGGTGTTCCCGAATGAGAATTATTTCATTAGTGGTACTTACGACATCGCGCTGCTGAAGCTGGCCACCCCGGCCCGCTTCACTGACACTGTGTCCGCCGTGTGTCTGGCCTGTAACGAGGCTGACTTCCCGCCAGGGACACCGTGCGTCATCACAGGCTGGGGCCAGACCCAATACGACGGTGAGCAGCTTGTCCGGGGGCTGGTGGAGGTGGGAGCTGCCAGGCTGGGCAGCGCCGTGGCACTGACCTCGCCCTCCGCTGCCCTTCCAGACCATCAAAGAGCACCCACGCTGCAGCAGGCAGTGCTGCCCCTCGTGTCCACTCCTGACTGTCAGGAGATCTGGGGTGACCAGGTCACAGATGACATGATCTGCGCTGGAAGTGACGGGACCTCCCCTTGCATGGTGCGGCCTCCTAGCTCTGCCCACACTGTCCCCCCTCTCTCTAGACATGGCTGCCCGAGTACGGGGTGAGGGCTGATGGGGGAGGGAGGCAGGTGCAGTGTGTCAGCTGCGATGGTGTCAGATCCCCGTGAGCGTGTGCGTGGCGGCTGCGGGAGGTGAGCCGCGCAGCCTGGACAGGGCCCAGGCAGAGCCGAGGCTGAGCCGCAGCCGCGCTGCCCCGCACAGCCCGCCCTCCTGCGCCTCCCTGCACGCACTCAGCTGCACTGACTTCTGTCATGTATGCTCCCCTGGGTGGGTCAGACTTCCAGAAAGTTCAACCCACAGCAGCTGCTGAAACCCTCCACAACCCACCCAGAAAGCAGGCAGAGGTGTCCTGGGTCAGGCCATGGACTGGCCTCTGGGCGCCATGCGCAGAGGCCGGGCTGCCTGGGCTACAACAAAACCGGAGCCTGTTTCCCTCTCCCTGCAGGGCGACTCTGGTGGCCCCCTGGTGTGCGAGAAGGGGGGAGTGTGGAGCCAGGTGGGCATCGTGTCCTGGGGCAGCCGTGAGTGTGACGCCAGCATGCCCGCTGTGTTCACCCACATCACTGCGCTCCTCCCCTGGGTGAAGCAGACCCTGGCGGAAAACAGCCTCAGAGCTGCTCTGAACCTCTGAATTCCTTCTTGCTCTGCTCCCCACCAAGCCTCAACAGATTCATTAACACCCATCAGTGTGGTCTGGCTTTTGTTTGGGGGCCTCTCCCGTTCCTGAACGTGGACCACTGGGCTGGGCCAACCTGGGAGGTGGGGATCTCGGGGAGAGGCCCCCAGTCCTTCTCCCATCATATGGCTGGTCAGAAGCACACAGGCACATGAAACAAAGAAAAACAACATAGGTGTCAGGGTGTGGATGTGTGGGCGATGGCGGCCTGGCCTCCCCTCCCAGCCCCGGCCTGGAGGCAGCCGCTGGCGGCCGCACGCATGCTCAGAGCGCTGCCACGGGAGCAGCAGGGGGTGAGGCAGCCGCTGGCGGCCGCACGCATGCTCAGAG